TAAAAAATAGTGTTAGAAAACAAAATCTCATTTGTAGCCAAACTATTGAGTCCAAAAATGAAAATTGCAATACTAGTATTGCCGTACTGGATCTACGTGGAGTATTTTTCGTCATGATATCTATATGCAATGATACTACTAGATAGAGTAATTATGAAATAGATTTGAATGCACTTTAGATTTATATAAAACTCTTCTTTAGTATAAAAATTTAATAATCTTTACACCGTTCCGGTTTAATTAAAATATATTTAACATATATAACTTTGTCCCGGGTTCAAATCCCTTTTAGTACGGAAGATCATTTTCTAAATTGGAATATCCAAAAACTGCCACCAAAAATATTATAAACTAAAGATTTAGAATTCTAACAGTTTATAAAAAAAAAAAAAAAACTTTTGTCCATTATGGACAACCTATAAACAAATAGTAACGAAGAACACTACATGGGCTGATAATGGGCCTAGTAGTATATAACCCAGCTTAAAACAACCAAGACAGATGTTTTGGGTGCATGAAACACACATCGTATTGAATCTATTGCAAAGTTCTCGAGGAAATTCATGAGTTGAAGATGGTGCCGATCGGATTTTGAGTGAAATTTATGAGTAGAGAGGGTTTATCACTCGTAGGGTCTTCACAGCATTACCAAGAGATTAGGCTCCACAATTCAATAATATTCCTTTTGCTAACAACAATTCAAAATTATCTTGCACTTAAAAATTAACCTTGTTCATTTTTCTCAAACCATAACAACGACTTTGATCCTCGGTAACATTGAGAATGAACTTATGTTCGACACCATATTTGTCAGCATATTTTTTGGAGTAACGTGCGATATATTCAAGCATCATCCAAGAAATAAACTCCAGGACTCAACAAATTGAGCTTGTATCAAATTGGTATTTTTGAGAATTTTTGCATCTTTCTTTTTAACAAAAAATATTTCTTGCATTATTCCGCGTGGTGGCTGAATTTGTTTCAATTCTTTCATGACTCACAATAGATAAATCTCTGCTTCTCTTTCTGCATAATTCAATAATATCATCGAGTTTAGGGCTGAGTTAGAGTAGCTCTTGGCAACCTCGAGCTTCATCATATTTTTCATGTCGGTTCTGTAAATGACGATAAAAAATTAAAAGATTTAAACTCAAAACATAGAAGAGATAAACTAGAGTAACCATTTGATTAACAGATAAAACATAAGTCTGATACATGGAATTCAGAGAGAAAGAAACGTTCATGGTCATGGCGAAGTATCATTCCGATCAAAAACACAAAGCATTTGTTGTAAAAATGTTTTTTTTTGGAATTGAAAAAAATTTACATTCAATTAAAAAATATATATATCAGAAGTCTGCTGTAAACATATGTAATGTGTTAGGCCAAGACCAACTCGACCATTGAACATACCTTCCCAATAAAAGACCATCACATAACCAT